CAAAAAACCCATTTGCACCTCCTGTGACTTCTATTTCTTTGTATGGTCTGTGTGCACATTGAGAAAATTCAAAGGCACTGTCTTTTAATCCCTTTTTAACTTTGACAGCAATACCAAACCTGACCCTAAGACCCATCTACCTTCTCTTCTCTCGAAGTGCTTGAGAAATCACCTAATTTTGTGATTGAAATTAATGTTTTCATTCAACTGCAAATCTTTGCGCTCAACCCCCATCCTAGCAAAATGAACACCGGCCCCTACCGCGCCCTCAGTCAGGTAATATGCTTTTCTTTCTTTTTTTTTTTTTTTCTTTTTCTTTTTTTCATTATCCCTTTAATGCAGAGCAGGGCTACTGATTACAAAGAGGCAGTTTGACTCCAGCAATAGGTCTTCTTCACTAATCCTCACTGTCATGGAAATTCCAGCTGCTACAAGAATAAGAGGCTCAATCCATATTTGCCAGCTCTAATATGAAATCTGTCAGAGCCCAAATTAATGAGTTCCAAATTCCTTACATCACGATAACAGGTTAAGACTGGTCAATTAATTACATAAATCCTTCCCGATTCATTGTGCGTTTGCAGCCCAGATTGTGTCTTACATTACTCCATGACACAAGGCCTTTTGGCTCCTGTTGTTCCGCAGAAAGGCCCCATTTAAGTGGAGGCTGCCTGCCACGGCAAAATGTTAAATGTCACACGTTAAATTTGCACTTTTCTATAATTGCTTTTGTTAAAAAAAAAAAAATTAAATGAAAGCACAAGGCTACCAGTACAACGCTATGCAGAGGGCTAGAATTATTGGAGCCCAGGGCAGGCAAGTATCTGTGTTTTAACTCCTAACAGTTCACACAGACTCCCCAGGTCTCGGCGCTCTGTGAGTAGCAGAACACAAAATGCGTGTTCATGAAAATAAACTGTTTCCCTTATCTCTATGAAAACATTCAAATAGGATTCTTTACATAGCCAACCTTCCTGTCTACCAGTGAAAGCTTAGATATTTTAAACACGGTTGATTCAGTCACCCTTCAGGAAGTACATTATACAAGCGGGTGTGTTATTATACTTGCACAGGTCTTTGCCTTCAAAAAGGATGTTCCTAACAGCTTTGCTATTTGGATTTAGGTACACACCTACAGAGGGTAGAATAATTGAAGTCCCAGACGACCTCTGTAGCATCCAGACCAAAACTTTTACTTTTTAAAACATCAAAATATACTTGGAATCACAGCTAGTTAGAACTAGCTGCAACTTGGGCTGCAACTTCCAGATTCCTAGCGCAGCCCCTTTTCACCTCATTACATTTCTTTGTGATCTTTACGCTTGTAGGTGCTCCAAACCGAATGGAACTAGTTCTGGATCATCTTCTTGCGGGATAGGAGTCCTCCGAATACACGAGTGAGCAAATGATGCTCCTAAACACACGACTAAAACGAATGTGGGTGCAGGTTTCTTCTACTTGGGAACCCTAATAATCCTCCCCTACACCGGCAACTAGCCAGATCCCGGGCGAGCTCTCCAGAAGGGTCTGCAGCCGCTGCGCTGGCCCGCCAGCGCCCCCTTCTGTCCTCCTGCGGCCTTACACCCGACACAACCGCCACGCGCTTGTTTTCCGGGGCAAAGAACACAGCTCCGCTCCGACACCCCAACACTAACAGGGTGGGGAACTTGTATCTCCCCGCCTGTACACCCAACACATACACACACACACACACACACCCCTACCAACCCGACCCAGGGCCGTTTCTGGGCCCAAAGACACGCACTTCTTCCCCAGCGGCCCAGACCCATCACCAGGCGCGACTGTCGCCCCCTTTCCTGACGGGAGGGGCAGGTTCACGCGACGGCGCGCCCATGGGGCAGGTTTTAGGCTCCTGGGGGGACTAGAAAGGAATGGGGTTAACTGATGCGTGCTGTGCGTGAGCAGATGAAAACATTTCGGAAGCAGGGTAGGGGGCCGTTGCTGCAGGGCCACCGCGTTCGTAGGCTCTAACAGGGACCCTCCAGGGGTCAGCCACACCCAGGCTGGGCAGCCCGTCGTCGCCCTCTCTCCGGCGCGGCAGTGGGGCTGGAGCCGCAGCGCCGTGCGAGCATCTGCAGAACAAAGGCTCGATCGAATCCAGCCTCAGGCCGGGGACCGCTGCCCCCGCCGGCCCCAGGGCTTCCGACCAGTACCCAGCCTCTGGGCGGCGGGGCCTCGCTCCACGCGCGCCCTCAAACCCGGAGGGCCCCCGCAAGTCTTGAAACAGGGAGGTCTGGAGGGTCATCGGTATTCACAGCTGCCTCCCATACTAAACCCACCTCCCGCAGCCCGTCGGCATTAGTATTTTATTGTTATTACTGTCTTTTTTTTTTTTTCAAGCGAGTTGTCATCCTAACACTGGAAGGGGGCCCCGCGGTGCCCACGTCTGGAGCAGGTGGGGCAGGGACGCTGCGGGCCCGTGCTGTAAATCGCTGTCTTTTTGTGGTTGTTGTTCCCACTCACCACCCGCCGCCCCCCTCCACCCGGTTTTTTATTTCTTGCCACAGCGCTGTTGCTATGGGTTACCAGAGTGGTTGCCATGGGTTACCGGACCGAGGCCTGCCGGCTGGCTGGCTACCTGCCGCCCAGTCGCCGCCGCCGGCGGAGCGGCCCCGGCGGGAGGAGGCGGGAGCGCGCGTGTGCGGGACGCGGCGCGGGGAGTGTGCGCGAGCCGCCGACGCACCGCAGCCAACAGGCGGCCGAGGGTGCAAGCGGCGGGAGCACCGCCGCCAGTGGGGTGGGGGGCAAAGCTATAAAGAAGGCCCCGAGGTAAGAAACCAGCAAAAACACAACCACAAATTATGCCCGTGCTGTGCCTCTAGCAGCAAAGACAAGCGGTGTGGGGGTTTGGAGGAGTCTACGCTTCTCGTCCGGGGAGAAAGGGTATTTTCCTCTTTAGCATAAGTCATTTGCATAGCGACTTTAGATCAGAGTTTAAATTCTGCAGCTTAATTTTTGTTCCTCTATATCCTTTGAAAAGAAAGTCTTTGGAAATTTAGAGAAAGAGAAAGGGTCATTAACTGCCAGAGTTTATGCAGCTAAAATAAATTAGTGTTCAATGCACTGTTCATAACAGTGATCTAGAAAAGTTTCCAGTTAAGAGTAAAGAGCAATTGTGTCTGACTTAAGGGGACAATGGTGACTCCATTCTAAAGATGCATATGGCAAAGAATAGAACCAAAGTCCTTTGTAAATATATCCAGTGTTAAAAGAAATTGTTGCTTACTTACATCCTTCTAAAATTTTTGAACTCCACTTTATTAAAATGTATTAAATGTATTAATTTCTTATGACCTTTATTTGCAAAGAAAATTATATCGATGCTTTGAATAGCAAATTGCAATAACTAATTTCAGAGACCATTTTGTATTTGAAAATGTTTATATAATAAATTAAGAAAAGATTTGTATGCCAAACAAAAACACAAAATTGTATGAAAAAAAATTGTTTCCTTCATTGAAAAGATGTTGCATCGTGTTCATAGGCTACCAAGTAATTTAAATATTAATAGGAAGATTATTGGGAAATTATAAGGTTTTGTTTTGGTTGTGTTTGTCTTTAAAATTTAGAGGCCTCTCATGAAAAAGGGTCTTTCTTTACAGCTCAAACACTGAAAAGCTTTTTTACACCCACAGTAGCTCAATAATGATGAATCCTTAAGGCACCTAAAAAAACAGAGTTCAGAAGAACATCCAATTTACTGTTGGATATAACGTAAATTGTGGCTAGTTAAAATGAATTTGTTTAAATTGTTAATAGTAATAAAAGAAATTTTGTTCTTTTACTTTACGTCGCCTATTTATACTTAATTTTTCAATAAAATTGTGCACTAGAGTTGAAAAGCTCTGGCACGATATTTAATATATTAAAGAAAAATAACTGGTTAAAGATAAGCATTTGTGTTTTTCCCTAGTATTTTCCAAAACTCGACATCTTAACAAGAAATAAATCACTTTCTTCCACGCGGGACTTTTAAAGAAGCCTTAAGTAACAGGTTGTTGACTTTCATTTCTGACACCAGTTCTATAAAATCCAGTTATAAAACAAAACACACAAGCTGGCTTTCTAGGCAAATAGTTTTACCCTTTCAGAATTAGCGAGGGAATCGTTTTGTGGTATGTACATCATGAAGCGTTCAGGATTAGACTTCCTTAAATTGAAGTCACATTAAAACAGTGCTAAATGCACCTCTCTTCTATTTAGTTCCATAAGTAATTATTTTCTTTTCCTGAAGAAAGTTTTATAAAAATATGCCAGGGAAAAATAAGAGACAAAACAAGAAAACCATGGAGAGTTGAAGTTCATCTAAATAGATCAGCTGCCAGAAGTCTGTTGTAAGAAGCCAGTGCTGAGACAGCAAAACAACAGCGCCAGTGAAAAGCCTCAAATATGTGCAACTGGAGGGAATGTTAAGCCCAGCTTTACCAAAGTTCTTCATAAAAAAATTTCTGATAATTCAAAAACACACCGAGTTTGGGTCTAAATCAGAAGAAATATATCCTCCTATATAAAATAAGTGATCGAGCACAGTTGATTTTTTTCATGTTTAATGTGAAAATGATCTCGTGATGTTTACATACCAAATATTTGACATTACTTATTATTGGCAGTTACATCATCTAAAAAAACATGACAATTGCTGGCATAGTATATGCTTTTCAAAACTGCTATAAAACAGAAATAATTGTGAACTCAGATACATATTGCTGAGGGGCTGGGGAATGCTCTCAAATGTCCAGATGGCAAACTTTACATGTTAGCAAGATAAGAAATTGCTAAATCTTTTCTTTTCCTGTATTAAAATAATGAAGATCCAAGACACATTCAATCAAAATATTTACAAAAATTGAGTATGATTTAACCATAAAAAAGGACAAATTAAAGAAATCATTCTTACTCTAATTATTTTTCTGTGGATTCTTAGTTTTCTGGGATATTTTTCTGTTTGTTCTTTGAAACAAGCATTGTAAAGACTTTTAAAAAATACAATAACTTTTAAATTCCTTGTTAAAATGAAATGTTGTTCCATATTATCCCATTACTCTCCAATTAGGCATTTAATTAAAGCAACAAGTTATCCAGTTATGTGAAAATATCCTCCTGTTAGTTTCAGAGAGATATTTTGTTCTATTCAACAAAGAAGAAACTTGGGTAATTATTTCTAGAAAATGCTGCCTCATCTGAAATGTGAAGTTCAAAGTAGTTTATCTAAGACGTCCGATCTTTGGGCCACTAAAAACAAACAAAAAAGACATTTTTTTTTTTAATTGTACCAATCTTCGTGTACATGGTTAAAAGATAAATGTTTTTTTAATGAATAATCCTGAAATTAGCAGCTTGGCATCCTTTTCTAAATTTTGGAAATATTTTTTGGTAAAATTAAACATATTAATTTTTTATGAGACCCTTCTTTTGACTTCAGATAAGCACTAAGTTACCACCACTGATACTGAACATTATCTAGTGGTAAGAAATTGCACATTTAGTCAGAAAATAAATCATTAACCTATAATTCTAATTATACAATGATAATGAAAACAAATGATTTATTGCCAGAAACCATTTGTTGAAGCTAATTCTGGACAATGAAAATGTATTTCTGAAGCTATCTATTGCAATGATAAGTAAAACTACTAGCACTATTTCTGTTTTTTTCTAAGATGTAAACATTATTTTAATACTCTATTCATAAGATACATTTTCCATCTAAGTGTGAAGCAGAATACTGGCAAGATTAAATACTCTTAAAATATGTCAGTCACACACCCAAAAGCAAAGGGTTTTGCCAGGGCACAGAAGATAGCCACAAAATATCAACCACACGTCTGAGAAAGGCAGTCTGGTCTAAGCTGTTTACTCTTCAAAGTGGTTAATATATACGCTGTGTTTACAGTAACACTGCCCCATTGATACAAGACAGAATGCCCTATCTTGATTTTAAATGCTACCTATATACCTAGCTTTTAAAATTCAATAAAACCAGCTAGGGTTTTTTTTTTTTTTAACCTATCTATCATTTCATTTGAGGGCAGGATCTTGTTTACCAGTAACATTCACCTCTAAAGGACACTATTGCATTCACAGGATTTTAGCTTGATACAGAAGCTTGGCTAAAATCAGACAACATAAAAATACCACTAATAAATAACTCCATGTCTTTAAATACCTAATATCATGACAGTGAGCTTTAGGTAAGAATACGTTATTAGCAAGCTTTCGTTTCTATGATTGGACATAATTTGCTATTCCTAGGATGGTCACATTAGAATTATTTTTCAGGATTCCTGTGGAGTTGTACTTATTTTACATCCATGTGAACTGCTGTCATCACTACTGTGTCCAAGCCCAGAGGATGAACTGGAAAAGAAGAGAGGGGGAAAATAATAAAAAGAGGAAATTGGTTTTCACAACACACTCAAAGCCTGAGTAACAGAGGAGAACTTTAATTATCTCCAGTCACAAAGAGAGACAGGAAATTTGGACTTTTAATTAGCCATTTGGAGTGCAGTTGGATATTTTTTTAGCTAGATAATTTAAACGCGAATAATTCAAGTCTGACTAAATGAAAGTCACATAATCAGAATGCAGATAATTGAATTTCTACTGCATTCATTAATTCAGTGTGGAGGTGTGTGTGAAGACTACTATGATGAGCTGTCACAGCTCAATAAAATCTCAGTCAATTAATTTTTTCATTATCTTAGTATTACATCAACAAAAAAGTGAAGTATGTGTATATATCTAGACACACGCATATGTGCACGGTGTGTTATATAAATACGTATACATTAAATCAAAAATGCAAGGAAATACCTTTCTGAATCATAATCTATGTCATTTTCCTTTTTTCCTTCTTCATCTTCTTCAGGGAAACGTCTGTTCATCAAGGCAAACTTGTGAATTGCTTCCTCCACAGAGTACTTAGTCTGTCCCGAAACACACGCCTCGATGTCTTCTGAATTCAGGTGGCTCTGCAAGAAGAGGTGAAGGGTGCTGTCTGAAAGCAAAAGTTCATTCTGCAGGACTCTATGAAAAGAAAAACATGAAAAAACGAGCAGTGAACAGGAGTGGTCAGTGACAGGGCAGGAGAAAGAAAAAACATTAGCACTGTGCCACTGAAGTAATTCCTCTACTGTGGTAAACTTCACATCAATTATGTGCTCTGCTATTAAAGGGACGAAAGCATATGTTAACTTTTATTCAATTATTTGGAAATGTAGGTGAGGAAAAACATGAAGCTAATAGTTAAGAACATCTGTTAAAAGAATAACTTCAAGGACATTTCTTCGATTTAACCATCTGTTATGACCATGTGGATTAATTATGGAAATATTTTGCTTATAGAGTCATAGAAATTTATTCTACTTAAAAAAATTTTACGGCCAACAGCATGTCAATGCAGTGATCTTTATGGGATGGGCTGTCATGAAACATCAGAACTTCTAACTACTATTAAAAATTATATGAAAAAGTCAATATATTTCTCAGCATGTTTTACATTTTAAAACTTTACAAGTATGTTTATGGACATAAGTACATTTGAAAGGGCTCATGTGAGAGGTAGTTTTGTTCTTTTTTTTTAAATACCTGAAGCTGACTAGAATTCCTCTAAAATTTCAGTAGCACTGCATCTCTATGTTGTCAAAATTAGCAACCTAATAAAACTGATCCCAGCCAATTTTACTGTATATACTCGTGTATATAGTTAAAATATGCTGACTTTGTTATGAATGCATACTGGCCTTCCCAAGTTCCAGATCAAAGTTTATAAAGACAGTGCAAGTGTCACCTAGTGCATCAGAACTAGAAAGAAGAATAAAAACTAGGCTTTAGCAAAATCGATACATGCACAAATTCATATTATCACTGAATGTGGTTTCTCTGAAATGCACATCTTATAATGTGAAATCAAGGCAAAGTATACCTTTACATTTAAATAAAAACTGGTTCTATCTTCTTTGCAAAGATTTTGACATACAATAATTTTAGTATGTATTAATAGGTCAGTCACGACAGAACAAAAGACAGTAAGACCTGATATAGTGGACAAAACTAGAATACTAAACCCAAGTATAATTTTGCCTGACATGGGATTTTTCATATAGAGATCTATGAAAAACAGATCATGTGTTTCAGACCAAATGAACCTTACTTTATATTCTGCATGTTTAAACAAGTAATTAGAAAGTGAATCTCTTTGGCCATTAATAACAATTTAGTTAAACTCCAAGGTCATTGGGATGTCCTTTTCTTCAAAATAAAAAAGATTATTTCTGTAAGACACAGTGTCAAAACCAAAATCTAGCCATCCTCATTGCTTCAACAGGCTTGCAAACATAGTTTGAGAAAACATTCTTTAAATATTCTTTACAAGGAAAAGTGAAACCTCTGTGCTTTTTAGAAGGCAAAACCTCAAGCACAGCAGCTAAATACTTCCTTTTCCTCCGTGTCCTCTGCCCTGGGCTCTCCCAGGAGAAGACCATGTCACATGATAAGGATTAATTTACCAAGTACAAGTAGCTAAGTAGTAAATCCCTTTTACTACTCTTTAAGATTTATTTTCTACATTTACAAATGTTTACCATTCTTGTTTTAAATACATCAAATTAAGAGAAGAGTTATACAGCAACAGCCCATTAATATTAACTTGGAACCGCTGTGAAGTCTGAGCAGCGCGTTTCCTGTGGCCTTCTGTCAGTGGTTTCCTGCCAGCCATGATACAAGTAACTGCTCATAGGATTATACTCACTGCTTTGTTTCTCTTGGAAATGTGTTTTATTTTCTTTATAAAATAATGGGTAATCTTTAAAATTGATTTTAGATGGTTTGAGGCATTACACCACAAAAGTAATGAGCACTAATGCCAATGATATTGGACACAAATTCATTTTAGCTTTATTTCATGTCTGAAGCAATTCTACTGAGCCTTGAACTGCTCACGCGCTGTTATTAACTCGCTAGTAACCTAACACATGGGTACAGCAAACAAAAGTGATCAGAGTCCAGGTTGATCGGGAGCTCAAGGCTACTGTCCTTTTTCTTGTGCTATAATTCAATTTCCAATTTTACTGTACATTACACTCATTATTTCCCAGTGTTTTCTTTTCTGCTCAATACTGCCATCTGGAGGACACATAGGTGAAAAAAGAGGCAGCCTGGGCCACAGCAGCTCACAATTCTGAAGAGGGAGAAAGATGTCACTGGGAGACACTGGAACAGCCACACAAGCCCAGAGATCAAACAAAGCTGATCTGCTGGACACAGTTATGGTTTTTGGAATCTCCTCTCTCACTCACTGTCTAAATGTATGCCACCATACTCAGTGTCAGGCATCAAGTTTTAACTAAGCAAAATAACTTTTTAATTTATGCTTTTGATTTTACAGTCAGATATTTCATTCTGAAATGTGAAATGCAGCTAGGCTAGGCTTCTGCATGTAAGCCTCGCATTTTGGGAGGCCAAGACAGGAGGATCCCTGGAGGCCATGAGTTCAAGACTAGCCTGGGCAAAACAGCAAGACCTCATCTCTACAAAAAAGTTTCAAATATCAGCCAGGCATGGTAGTGTACACTTATAATCCTAGCTACTCATGAGGCTGAGGCAGGGGGATCACTTGAGCCCAGGAAATGAAGGCTGCAGTGAGCTCTAATTGTGCCACTATGCTCCAGCCTGGGTAACAGAGTAAAACCCTGTCTCCAAAATAAAAAAAATAATAATTAAAAAATAAAAAATGCACAACTTTTAGAAATGTTTTCCCATCTCATTCAGCAAGCATAATTAGTTAATTTATTTTTATTTTTTGAAACAGTGTCTCACTCTGTCACCTTTGGTAGAGTGCCATGGTATCACAGCTCTCAGCAACCTCAAACTCATGGGCTCAAGCAATTCTCTTGCCTCAGCCTCCTGACTAGCCGGGACCACAGGCACCCGCCACAACACCTGGCTATTTTTAGAGGTGGGGTCTCACTCTTGCTCAGGCTGGTTTTGAACTTGTGAGCTCAGGCAACCCACCCGCCTCGGCCTCCCAGAATTAGTTCATTATGAATACTCTTTGGTTTACTGCCTATCAGAGAAGGTTGTGATTAACACCATCATAATATTAAATCCTATTTTTTCTTTAGTCTTATTTGTGCCACATATTCTACAAATCAAACAACAGAAAAGAACTTCAAACTTAATACAGAGTACTTGGTAAAACAGCCAATAAAATGTCATTTTTAGAAGCCTCTGTGAAAATAAATGTATATGATTTTCAAGCCTTTTAATATTAAAGGAATAAAAAATAGTCTCTAGGATTTTAAAAGAATTTCTAAAAAAAATTTACAACGTAACTCCAAAGTTATTTCTTTCCCCATAACAATTTTAAACAAAGTAAAACCTGTTTTTTCCTTGAATTAGACACAGTTGAAAATCTGATTTTCCTCAATATGATTTTATTAGGTGTATTATATTTTGGTTTAGTTGCGAACAATATAGAGCTATTCAAGATCATTTAATCCTAGCTAGGGATGTCCTGGTCCACTGAGCCCAATATAATGACATGTAAACACGTCTGTATAGTATGTGGAAGATCGCAGTTTGACCAAGGGGAAAAAATTAAGCCAGTTTAACTGAGTTGGTTTAAAAATAACTAGCTGAAAAAAACAAAACCTACAAATCTTCATTGAAGACATTCATGATCTGTGCTATGGTGCCCTCTATTGAACACAAAGACTTATAAAACGGGTGTGTGTGTGTGTGTGTGTGTGTGTGTCTGTATATATATGAAACTAGTTGTAGTGCATGTCAATTGTAGCAGTTTGTAAAAAATGTAAATATTCTTTACATTTTTAAGAAACACAAAACCATTAAACAGAAGTCTAAAATTGTAGGGCAAATGCAGTTACACCCAAGGTAGGAATCCAGTAAAGCAGAAAAGCTGGCTCCAATTCATAAATAAGCCTATTCAAACCTAAACTGAAAATCCCATTCAAATCTAAAATCCTGTTCAAAACTAAGAAACTAGTAGGAATTCCATTATTCATAGTTGGAGACTTACCAACAGTATTTATAATTTACGTCTCTAACTTTCTTTTTCCATACCTATTAGAAATGATTTCAATTTATAATTAGGGGAAAGAAAAAGAGAGGGGATTATAGTCATGATTGAAGAAAAATGAATATATCTGAAAAATCTCACAATCAGACTGACCAAATTTAGCTAGTATTTAAGAGTTCTGCTAATTTTAAATTTGCCAGTTCCTAGGATTAATACAGTACCTCCACCTTTCCGATGATTTCCTTCTTTGTAAAACTGAGTTGGTAATATCCAACTCCTACTATTTTCCTAAGTATTGAGATAAAACACGTAAAATCTCAAACAGGTAGCAAGTGTTCAATAAATGGTAGAAATTATTGTTATTTGATTCCTAGTGAAAGAATTTTCTAGGGTAGTGCACCGGCCCCATATACAGAGGGTGGTGGGGTCAAACCCAGCCCTGGCCAAACTGCAACAACAACAACAACAACAAATAGCCAGGCTTTGTGGCGGGCACCTGTAGTCCCAGTTACTTGGGAGACTGAGGCAAGAGAATCGCCTAAGCCCAGGAATTGGAGGTTGCTATGAGCTGTGATGCCACAGCACTCTACCCAGGGCAATAAAGTGAGACTCTGTCTCTTTAAAAAAAAAAAAAAAAAAGAATTTTCTAGTTCCTCTACAACTGACCTGAAAATGAAAAAAAATGCATTTTATATACACATATACCTACACAAAGGGACATTTTGGTTTCAAAGGGTTTGAACGTATTTAGTGCGTCTGATTCACAACTTCAAAACTTACATAAAAACCAGATTTTAAATATGTGCTAAAAAGTCTACAACACAAGCATAGTTGACGTTTTAATGCTGCAGTTCCTAAAGTTCCTCTACCAACAAGGTACAGGCCATGGATGTGTGGCCCTACTTAATGGGTAACCACTGCACCTCAGAGGACATGAAGCTGGGTCAAGACACATGGTACATCATGTCCGGCCTCCCAAAGCGGCCCAGGGCCAGGAGGGGGAGGAGTCATGGGGCAAAAACATGGAAAGTTGCTACACGGAAGGAAGAACAGGAGAGCAGTGCATCAGAATCTGAAGGACACAGAGAGAAGGGTGAGGAGGATGAGACGAGGCCACAGAGTTTAGGTCAGGCCTGAAATCAACCCTGTGGTGTTTGATTCCTTCCTTCCTCCAGGTGCAAACCATGTGGAAGCACCAGCGTTCTTTTTTTTTTCTTTTTTTGAGACAAAGTCTCACTTTGTCGCTCTCGGTAGAGTGCTATGGCATCACAGCTCACAGCAACCTCAAACTCTTGAGCTCAAGTGACCCTCTTGCCTCAGCCTCCCAAGTAGCTGGGACTACAGGAATCCACCACAACACTTAGCTATTATTTAGAGATGGGGTCTTGCTCTTGCTCAGGCTGGTCTCAAACTTCTGAGCTCAGGCAATCCACCCACCTTGGCCTCCCAAAGTGCTAGTATTTTTCTGAGTATTGAGATAAAACATGTAAAATGCCAAACAGGTAGCGAGTGTTTAATATGGCAGAAATTACTGTTATTTGGTTCCTAGTGAAAGAATTTTCTAGTTCTTCTACAAATGACCCGAAAATGAAAAAAATGCATTTTATATACACATATACCTATATCTAGCTTTCATTTTTAAAGTGAAATTCATTAGCTTGGAAACAAATGTTCACATAATACAGTAGAACAAATGATACAGCACAAGAGAATTCCCCACTCACCCCCGCAATCCAGTTTTAATGGATCCAGCCGAAGCCTTTGAGATGTATGTAGTATTTTCCCACTCGAAGGAAACTTCAAGAGGACAAGGACTCCTGTCACTCTGTGCAGTCCTATATCCCTGGTACACAGCCTGGCTCAGAGCAGTCTCTTAATAAATATCTGTTGAATAGTTCTCGGAATCCTTTCTCAGCCATCATCTGAAGGGCACAACCTCACAAAATGTGAAGTTGACAATGCATGGCTTATATTATCCCACTCTACAGCAAACTGAGGCTCAAAGGAATTAAGTGACCATTCCAAGGTCATATGGCTAGAAAAAATGTCAATCTCATGATTCGTGAATCAAGAGAGACCTAGAACGGAGCTCCCCAAGCTCCCAAACCAGGACATGTTTCCCTATGGCATGTGCATCAAATATAGCCTGCAAATAGTGAAACAATACAGTATGCAAAAATAACACAGCACAAGCAGGCCCCAGCTGTGGCTGAATGACACTCACTAGGTCACTAATTTTGGTAGCTCAACTGTGGATGGAAATGTTATGTTCAAAACAGTGAAGTGATTTCTGATCAAAAACACATGCTCTGCATTTAACTAGCAACATAAATTCAGAGACACAAGCTACTCTTTGACCTCATATAAGAGACTTCTCTACAGAAGCTGCTCCCAGTGCTGGCAGGGACTGTGGGACTTACCTACCTCCTGCCCAGGCCTCACTGGTAATGGCCAGGCTTTAACTCCCCAGGGCAGCACCTAGAGTGACAGGCTACTCTACAAACTTGAGCTGTAGGAACCACATCTTAAGGGAGAGGCCATCAGCCACTTGGGGCCTTATAGAGACAACAATTAAAATCAGAGCTGTCTTCAAAGGGAAAATGCAGGGAAAACTTAAGCAGGACTTTGTTCTTTCATACTTGTATACCCTCTTTAAAATTCCACTGTAATGTTTTTGGAGGACTTGGCTCTGCTAATTGGTTCTTCTGGTCTCTTCTCATTTTAATCCCTCTGGGTCCTCTTCCTTTCCTCACTCCCCCTTAATTTATAATGCTGGATCTTTCTAGACACCTCTTTTCTCCAAAGGAAAGGCACTATGTCAATCTAATAGAAAAAAGTATTAATATTCATGTGCATACTTAATACCCAGTGCGAGCCAAATGAGGAGGAGGCAATATATTCTTTCAGACCTGCTCTAAGGTCTTATTTAGTGAACTCAAAAGGAGATGACTTCAGATCCTGAAACTCCTAGAAAAAGAATGAGATATCAGGATACTGGGTTCTATTGCCACCTAATAGTCACATGACCCAGCCTATTTCCTTACCTATAAAATAAGAAATTAGAAAAATAAGCACAAAACTACTTCATGTCTAAGTCATTAAAACAATAACAACCAACACTTAGATAGAACCTATATTATATGCAAGATGCTATCATGAATGCTTTACAGTCATTAACTCATTTAATCGTCTAAATAACCTTAGCATGTTGGTACTATTATTACTGCATTTTATATAAGGGAAAACACAGGCACAGAGGACATAAAAGACTCACCCAAGACCCCCAGCTAGTGAGTGACAGATCCAGGATCTGAACCCAGGCAGGCTGGCCTCAGAGTCTGTAGACAAATCAGAGTGCTACACTGCCTCCCATGCAATGGGCATTCTAACATTCCAAAGGGGTCAGGGGAGGGGAAATCACAATAGTGTGAATTCAAGCAGCTTTAACTACAGGACCCACCATCACAGAGTAATCCAGAGTTAATAACCCACTGAGACTATTCAAACACCACCAAACACTCCTCTATAAACATTTCCTCTGAAGATTAGAGTTAAGCCACTCATTTAAAGGAGCCCAGAAGGGTATTAGTAGCCCACTGTAGAGCTGATTCTTGTCTGTCAATTCAAAATGTTGTAAATGAAGACAGTTTTTAAGAAGTACATTTTTACAATCAGGCACATGTTTCCTGGAAATTTTTACTTTTGTCAGCTAGGCTCCCAAATAATTTAGATCTGCTTTACAGCCTATATTATCTGACTCGATTAGTTCATTGTTTTCTTTCTGTAAGACTTGGTCTCAAATATGTACCATATGATGTGAGCCACAAGATGGTGCTCTAATACAGGAAATGAACTGCTGAGCTTAGTCCTAGCACACATGATTAGCGTTTCAGAAATAGTAATATTCTCCCCTGTATGATCACACAGCTCTTCCAAAGCATTTTGTTCACATCTCATTTGGACATGGGAGTTTCCATACACTTACTTTCGGAGGAAATCTTCCAATCCCTGCCGACGCTGATCCACATGCTGGCGATTGTTCATGTTGAAAAACAAGTTTTTAGATGGAAGTTCTGGCACTTGTCTTATGAGAAAGAAAAAACACATTTTAAAAGATCAAATTGAGGTGGCTTCATTACAGAAAATCCCTCAAAGTGAGGGCAAATTGTGTACGATGACAATCTCACAGATATTATTCCAAATTGCATAGTTATATAATAAGGATATAAAGAAATCAGTTAGGCTCAGTGCCCGTAGCTCAGTGAGTATTGTATAGTTACATAATAAGGATATAAAGAAATCAGTTAGGCTCAGAGCCCATAGCTCACCTAACTGCGAGCATTACTTTCAAGGATCAATCACAAAAAGTAACAAATCCTAAGGTATAAATGTCCGGTGAGAGTTCAGGGTCACCAGTTGGCATTTCAACATCATCCGCTTAGCTGGACACATATACCCAGACTGGCGGGTTCAAGCCTGGCCCGGGCCTGCCAAACAACAATGACAACTACAACCAAAAAAATAGCTGGGCATTATGGCAGACTCCTATAAACCCAGCTACTCGGGAGGCTGAGGCAAGAGAATCGCTTAAGCCCAAGAGTTGGAGGGTGCTGTGAGCTGTGATACAACAGCACTCTATCGAGGGTGACAAAATGAGACTCTGTCTCGAAAAAAGAAAAAAAAGAAATTAGTTAAAGAAAAACCCATCTTCAAATATTTCTGAGATCTTTCATGTCACTACTTATAAAAGCTGGTGGATGTCAAGTAATAAATTTTAAAATCAGATTCAAAAGCTACAAAACTAACTCAAGCTATATATTGCAATCAAGAAGCAAGCCTATAAAAATTTTTCATATCTTATATACCTGAATGCATATAAATTTTTAAATATTAAACAATAATAAAATCTCCTCAATATAGTCCTATTTGTTTTGTTTTGTTTGAGATAGTCTCACTATGTCACCCTGGGTAGAGTGCCATGGCGTCATAGCTCACAGCAACCTCTAACTCTTGGGCTTAAGTGATTCTCTCGCCTCAGCCTCCCAAGTAGCTGGGACTACAGGCGCCCACCACAATGCCAGGTTATTTTTTGTTTTTGTTGCAGTTGTCATTGTTGTTTAGCAGGCCAGGGCCAGCTTCAAACCCACCTACCTCCGTGTATGTGGCTGGCACCCTAACCACCGAGGTATGGGCACCAAGCCACTCAATGTAGTCTTTAAATCACTTACACCAGCAATGCATTACTTTGGAGTCTCTGCCTCAGCCACACAAATTCTCGGTATCTTCTTCGTACACAGGATGTTTTCATTGTAAAACACATGCTATTAGTCTGCAGAGAAAAACAGAAAAATGTGAGCCTCGCCTAAGGAAAAAATGTTTTTCTTATACATATAACTCACAATATGATGCCAATATCCATTCTAAATGGAATTTAAACCACCAAAAATATATTTACATTTATGTCATTACTCTGAAATCTTGCACATAAACCCACCAACATAACCCCGGGATGATATGAATGAGCGGTGAGGTCCCAAGGCAGGGCGTGACCTGGCCCCTCTCTGCGTCCTGAAGGAGCCTCCGGCTCACCTAACTGTGAGCACTAATTTCAAGGATGAATCACAAACAAATCCTAAGGTATAAATGCCCGGTGAGAGCTCAGGGTCACCGGTTAGCATTTCAACATTATCCACGTAGCGGGAGGAGCCTTTGGGGATTAGAGACATCTCCTTAAGGTTCTTCACAGGACATCACAAAAGCCTTCATTTCCTGGGCACAGCCATCCCTAGAGACCACACAAACTGCCAGGAATCCTGAAATCACGTTTTTTTTTGCAGTTTTTGGCCAGGGCTGGGTTTAAACCTGCCACCTTTGACATATGGGGCCACTGCCCTACTCCTTTGAGCCACAGGCACCACCCCCTGAAATCACTTTTAAACTCAACAACAGCATTTCCTTTCCTAGCTGTGAGAGAGAGTGTGATCTGCACCGGGGGTGGCAGGGTAGCAGCTGGTACAGACGACAGGCAGATCAGAACTACAGGCCTGGCTCTGCTACAGGGAAGTCACTTACACTTGTTTCCAGAGTGTCAAAAAATGAGACAAGTTAGTACATATCTGTCTTGCAGGGCGATTGTGAGAACTGATGATAAGCACTTGGCAAATGTTATCTATTACTATTATTATTAGTTACTAAGTGTTGGTTTCCTTCCAGCTACCCTAAGGCAGAGTTGGAAAAAGCCACCTATAGAGTCCCCATCCTAAGCTAAGCAACCATGCTTTTCCTTTCAGTAACCACAAGATATTCTCCTTTGGGTAAACCGTGACACCAGGAAATATCTGAGTCTACTGGCTTCTGAAAATAAGAATATCTCTATTCTCTACATTTATTTGAAAATTCTATTTTATAATCTGTATATTACCAAATAAGAAATAATTTTCTCCCCAAATTTATATTATTTCAAAAAATTATTATTCTAGGGGCTGGGCACAGTGGCTTACACCTGTAATCCTACCACTCTGGGAGGCTGAGGCAGATGGATTGCCTGAGCTCATAGGTTCAATACCAGCCTGATACACAGCAAGACTACGTCTCTAAAAAAAAAAAAATTAGCTAGACATTGTGGCAGGTGCCTGTAGTCCCAGCTACTCTTAAGCCCAAGATTTTTGAGGTTGCTGTGAGCTGTGACACCATGGCACTCTACCAAGGGCAAAAAAATTGAAACTCTTGTCTCAAAAAAATAAATAAATAAAATAAGCCCAAAACTTGTTTATTTTCGGAAAATCTAAGTAATTATGTGCAAAATACTCCCATAAAATACACGGCACAGTTCCCGGTATTCCTGAACTTTATAAAGGACAGAAGACCTCAGAATGAAGAGAGGGTAAGAGACTCACCTTTAGCCACTGGTCTAAATCCCACTATCTTTGATGATATGGCAGCAAAACACACTGGTGGGAATTCATGGCACAATAACATTCATGGATGAATTTCAGAGCACACCAGCTGCTCACCCTAACATGCTCCCTGGGGACTAAGCCAGCAAACCATCTTACAAGAAAATCAGTGCCTTAATGAGGCCTGAGCAGGTGTCTCTCAGGACCCTCCCCAGAGAGTACCAGACCACTGCAGAGACTCCTGGCATCTCAGGTACCGGCTGGGCCAGTTTAAACTTCTTTAATTTCTCTGCTCACAATCATTTCAGATTTCAATAACTGAAGATCCACCTGGCACCTACATCAGACTAAGGTCCATCGTAAATCCTTCATTTCCAGCAGAGGTTAAAGGCATATCTATGATGGACAACCCAGCTCTAAGTCTACTAGTTTAAGTTTCCAAATAAGGTTAAAGTTTCAGAGTTGAGTGATACCATTTCTCTTGAGGTTAATTTAAATGAATCAAGCCCCAGCTTCTCTACCTGCAAAGCTCTATGGGTACAGAATTCAAAAGAGGCCAACTATAACCCTCCAGCCTCACTATTCACTTTTTTTTTTCTTTGAGGTGGAGCCCTGTTCTGTTGCCCAGGCTAGACTGCAGTTGGAAAATGCTGGACTAAACTGGTATAGTGAATACCGAAACCCAGCCATCGTTGGGTTTTTTTTTTTCCCTTCTTCTATCTTTTCTTTTTTTTCTCAAGGTTCCTCACCTCCCAAGTAGCTGGACTGCAGATGCACGCCTCCGTGCCCAATTAAATTTGCATTTTTTGGAGGAATGGTGTTTCACTATGTTCCCCAGGCTGGTCTCAGACTTCCAGACCCAACTGATCTTCCCTCCTCAGCATCCCAATGTGCCCACCGTCCACTTTTAATAGTAGAACAAGGGGAGGCCTCTTGAGGATTCAACTATACTGAGATCACTAATTAAGTTCCTCTAAATCTATTTTCTGTTTCTGATATCTACCAATCCAAATTTATCCATTGTCAATTTATTAGCATTTCAGAGAAGTGCCAAAAACACCATCAAATAATATTTGGGGAAGCCACCATTTCTGGCTCCACATGGAGATTTCTGAATTCACGTCATGCTATTTATACGGCAGAGAAGAATCTATACTTTCATTAACTCCTGGGAGTAATTTAATTTTCATACCTATAATAAAGTATGTGATAAGAACTCACAAGTTTTTTTGTTTTTGTTTTTGAGACAGAGTCTCATGTTGTCACCCTCAGTAGAGTGCTGTCACATCACAGCTCACAGCAACAGAAAACTCTTGGACTCAAGCCATACTCCTGCCTCAGCCTCACAAGTAGCTGGGATTACAGGTGCCTGCCATAAAGCCTGGCTATTTTTTAAAGGCAAGGTCTCGGGGAGCACCTGTAGCTCAGTGGGTAGGGCACTGGCCACATACACCAAGGTTGGTGGGTTCAAGCCTGGGCCAAGCCAGCTAAAACAACAATGACAACTGAAACAAAAAAAAATAGCCAGGCATTGTGGTGGATGCCTGTGGTCTCAGCTACTTGGGAAGCTGAGGCGAGAATCACTTAAGCCCAGGAGTTTGAGGTTGCTGTGAGCTGTGATACCACGGCACTCTACCCAGGGCAATTGCTTGAGATTCTGTCTCAAGAAAAAAACAAAAAAACAAAAAGGGCAGTGCTCGTAGCATAGTGTGTAGGGCACCAGCTGCATACATGCAGACTGGTAGGATCGAGCCTTGCCTGAGCCTGCTAAACAACAATGACAACTGTAAGTACAACAACAAAAACAGCCAGACGTTGTGGCAGATGCCTGTAGTCCCAGCTTCTCGGGAGGCTGAGGCAGGAAAATTGCTTAAGCCTAGGAGTTAGAGGTTGTTGTGAGCTGTGACACCACAGCCCTCTACCGAGGGCAATATAGTCAGACTCTGTCTCAGAAAAAAAAAAAAAAAAAGATGAGGTCACAGGGTGTCACTCTAGCTCAGACTGGTCTCAAACTCCTGAGCTCAAGCAATCCACCCACCTTGGCCTCCCAGAGTGCTAGCATTATAGCCACTGTGCTAGGCCACTTACAGGTTTTTTTATAGAGAAAATTAAAAAGCAACTAAAGAATTCCATTTTGCTTCAAGTGCTTATTCTTATACACTCATAATTTCCACACAGAACGCAACTCTGATGTGAGCTTATGAGTAAACCCAAAACAAATAAAACTACATGGCATACAGCATAATCAAAAAAAAGTTCTGAGTTTTCACTTTGTTTACTTCCTAAGGTGAGGAAAAGATAAAAGAAGGAGGAAAAAAAAAAATCTATGGCTAGTGCTTGGGTGTCCAGTATGCCAATTTAGCTATTTACAATGAGAAGATTAAATGATAGCTAACTTCTACTTCACTTGTGCTATGAAGTCACAGATACAATCTGAGCCAATTTCTATGCTCTCAAATTTATGGGTTTTGTTTTTTGAGACAGAGTGATCTCACTCTGTCGCCCTAGGTAGAGTGCCATGGCATCATAGCTCACAGCAACCTCAAACACTTGGGCTCAAGTGATCCTCTTGACTCAGTCTTGACTGGGAGTGCAGGTGCCTGCTACAGTGCCCAGCCAGCTTTTCTATTTTTGGTAAAGATAAGGCCTCACCCTTGCTCAGCCTGGTCTCAAATTCCTTAGCCCAAGTACTCAACCTGCCTTGGCCTCCTAGAGGGCTAGGATTACAGGCACAAGCCACTGCACCTGGCCCTCCCTATCCTCCCAAATTTGAACTCATTTAGTTTTCATTTGATTTAAGTAGGAAAAGTGACTATTAAGACCAGGAGCCAATAAACTATCCAGAGGGCCAAGGCCAAATCTATTCTGCCACTTGTCTTGGTCCAAAATTTTATTGGAACACAATTATGCACATTCATTTATGCATTATCTATGACTCTTTTCCACCAGGACTGGAGAGCCCACAAAGCTGAAGATATTTACTACCTTTACAGAAAAGGTTTGCATACCCCTTGTTCACGATGGTCACAGAGAGCCACACACTACACAGTTCAAGTTGTATCCAAGCAAGGTACATCACTTCTAGTTGTTTACTGATCATATTAATTACTACGAATCTAGACAAATTAACTGCAAATTAATTGCACATATTCATTTCCTACTTTCTGATTCTAAGTATAAAACACTACACATCTCTTTTCCAGAGAACTCTATATTCTCTCAAAATTAAAGATTTATTAGACATTATATTATCTAGAAATATGCTATAGCAGATCATAAACAAATACCATTAATGAGCTATTAATACTCTTTAACCATGAATTCTGAACCCAGTCACATGTTCATAGGTGAATGTAATAAACATTAAAATGTGAGTCTGAACACAGCTACAATAAGGAATTCAAATGAGTCATTTTTCAACTTTAGTTAACATCTTACTATTTCATTTAAGATACAAGCATTAGTTGTAATAATTCAAATTCAGTTCTTTGAATTAAGAATACTTTAAATACATAAAATTTCAGTTTTACATAGTGTCCCATAAAATGTATGCTACCTAATATTTTATTAATATTAAAGACTAGCTATATACTTACATGAATACATATCTCGTAGTCAATGTAAGAATGCCAAAAGTCCTCCTTCTGAATCCTAGGATCTCGAACCCAGACGCTTACAAATTCCTGTAAGGACATCATAAACAGAAATACGCTTCAGAATTGCAAGCCGACTAGAAAGAGCTGAGGGAAAAGACTGCACTAGAACAAAACTGAAACAAAGCTATAATCCTTTAAAAAACAAGAAGTGAAGTTAATGAATCAGGCACCACAGGCAAGTTCAGAAAACACTTGCGCCACAAGTGGAATTTTTAAAATAATGCAATACTGAGCTGAGTACACTTTTAAAAATTTTTGCAGGTTATTTGAAGGCAATAATGTGTACTCTGTAACTGATTTTTAATTTTTAGTCATGAAAAATAGGTTTACTGGTTTGGTCCCTATAGCTCAGCAGCTAAGGCACCGGCCACATACCCCAAAGCTGGCAGGTTCAAACCCAGTCCGGGGCTGCCAAACAACAATGACAACTACAAACAAAAAATAGCCAGGTGTTGTGGAGGGTGCCTGTAGTCCCAGCTACTTGGGAGGCTGAGGCAAGAAAATTGCCTAAGCCCAAGAGTTTGAGGTTGCTGTGAGCTGTGATGCCATAACACTCTACCCAGGGCGACATAATGAGACTCTGTCTCAAAAAAAAAAAAAAAGAAAAGAAAAGAAAAAATAGGTTCACCTTTTCTCAAATTCTTTTTTTTTGGGGGGGGGGCTGGGGCTGGGTTTGAACCCACCACCTCTGGCATACAAGACTGGCACCTTACTCCTTTGAGCCACAGGTGCCACCCCCTTTTCTCAAATTCTAACAGCAGTCATTTCTTACTTGCTTTATCTCTCTAAATTAAAACTATGGGCCCTGCCTGGTTAAATCACTTCCCAGAACACAAATAATCAAGGGTAACAAAGGTCATGTGAAAGTAAGCAATGAGAGCTGAAATGAACTTCGTGCATACACATATAACTCAGCCTCACAAGATTAAGTGGTAACAACTTATTACAGAAAGATGACTTTATTTTACACACTACTTCTTTTTTTTTTT